GTGGCATAGTCCTCAGAATCACAGCAATTCAAACCACCACAGCACGACAGACAGATGAGTGGCAGTTGCGTGATTGCTGTTAAATAGGAATCTCCTTGTGCTAGGGCCCTTAAGTCTGGCTCAAAGGTGGGATTTCTGTTCTTGGATGTCAATCAAGAGGCAGAAGCACAGCAGGGGCGACTGGGTTGTAGTGAGACACTTTGGGCTGGGCTTGTGGGTCTCTAAGTTGGTCGACCCCGCCTCAAAGCCAAGGAAGGCGCTCTTGCGTCCGGGGTAAGTAGGACAGACTGGCCGGCCTCTGCAGTCTCTTCCCGCTAGGCAGCGTCTCCCCATCGACCTGGTCTCCAGACACCTCTCACCCCGCTGCTCCGTGGTCTGGGTTTCATTTAATACCTCCACCAGGTCTGCGCAGTTGTCGCACATCGTTTAGCCGCCGCCCTCCATGATAGAAGCCCTTTCTTAAAATCATCTCATAGGTGATTTTAAAGAATGTGCCCGTAGCACTAAGCTCCATGGTCAGAGTCAAGATTCTGCAGTTTTCTTTGCCTTCTCAGATAGATCAGGGCTTCTAAACTAGCTTAAGTTCCTCTGTAAATGTTACAACTCCCTTCCTTCCCTTTAAGTGGAGTTGTTGTTAAATGCCATAGCAACTGTGCATAGTGTTTTCCAAGGAGCAGCTAGGGGGCTTGAACCACCAACCTTGTGGCTATTGGTCTAGTGCTAACCCGACGGTGCCAAAAGGGATCTCCACTAAGTGGAGTACATTCCTATTTAATCCCAAATCACAACTCAAACAAGTTGATTCTGACTTGTAGAGACCTCATAGCACAGATTAGAACGGTTCTTAGGGTTTCCGGAACTAAATCTTAGTAAGAGCAGACAGCTTCATTTCGACCACAGAGGGGCTGGTGGGTTTGAAAGGCCCAGCAAATTCCTTCTCAATGAGAAACTGTTTGTTCTTGTTAAGGGCCTTGGAGTTGGTTCTGACCCATAGTAACCCTATATAAGGTTTCCGAGGAGCAGCTGGTGAGCTTGACCGCTGACCCTGAGGCTCAAACTGACTTTGCAGTAGAGATTAGAAAGCGCTTTAAAATGAAGTATCCAAGACATAAAAACTTTCTCTTCTGGGTCTAACAATGGTGGTGGTGAGCCATGGAGTTGGTTCCAACTCATAGTGACCCTGAATAGGGTTTCTGAGGCTTTAAATCTTTATGGGAGCAGAAAGCCTCATTTTTTTCTCCTGCGGAACAGCTGGTAGATTCCAACTGTTGACCTTGAGGTTAGCAGCCCAACTTGTAACCACCAAACTAAAGTGAAATCCTTTGACATTATTCCAGAGGTCCCTGAGATGCTGCTCATTTCTTTTAATCTTCTTTCACGGTCCTTCACTGGGAATTGAGTAATTGATGTTGATCTATTGTTCAAACCGGAGTCCTGGTGTGGCGCTGTGGGTTAATGCACCAGACTGCAATCCGTTTGAACAGCAAGGTCAGCGGTTCAAGCTCACCAGCTACTCCTCAGAAACCCTATACAGCGTTGCTATGGGTCGGAACCAACTCAACAGCACTTAACAACAACAAAAGATTGTTCAAACCACTAATTATTACCTCTATTCTCCTACTGGGAGTCCTGGCATGGTGCTGTGGATTAATGAGCTGGACTTCAAAGTTGATTGAATCAAAAGGTCAGCGGTTCAAGCTCACCAACCACTCCTAAGAAACCCTATACAAGGTCACTGTGAATCGGAACCGACTCAATGGCACTTTAATACGACAGATACTTCCCAGTAATACCATGCTCAAGAAAGAACAGGTTGGGTGTTGCTTAAAACAAGTGTGTATGTGTTTTGAGAACACATTGTATTTTTCACTGACAGGTACAAACCTACCAGTCACTCCTCAGAAACCCTATACAGGGTCACTATGAATTGCAACAAACTTGATGACACTCAACAACAACACCAGGGCTCCTTAATAAATCACTAAGCTTATTTTCCGGTAGCATAATGGTAACGAGTCGGGCTGCTAATCTCAGTCAGCAATTCGAAACTACCGCGATTCCAAGAGAGACAGATGAGGCTTTCTGCTGCTCCCTTAAAGATTTACAGCCTCACAAACCCTATGTAAGGTCGCTAAGAGTGGGAACCAATTCCACAGCACATAAGCACCGCCATCATCACCATTCCCTGGTATGGCGCTATAGGATAAGCACTGGACCACAAGGTCGCTTTGAACTCCAAGGTCAGCAGTTCTAACTTACCAGTGGCTCCTCAGAAACCCTTACTGGGTCACTATGAGTCAGAACCGACTTGATGGCACTCGACAACAACATGCCCTTCTAAATATTTCAAATGTATATAAGGTGGAATTCATCATTGTAACATTGAATTCTTCACTGACAAGTCACATACAATTTTAAATGGCTCAGCAATATTGCATCGGGGCAGTTATTTTAAAGTCTATGAATTAAGGGTTCTCTTTGTGAATTACACTTTTCTAAAACCACCAACCTGGGGAAAAAAGACTTCCCAGGTAGAGATACAAAAGGTATAGGGAAGGCAAGACGTTTACTTGGAGACATGATTAAACCATACCCATAAATACTCTGGGTCTTACAGCACAGATCTGTCTAACTAGGTCTGATGTGAAACAAGGTTGTAGTTTTAACAAGGGCCTGAGGTGGTTCTAATAGTTGTTGGCTTGCAAAGTTCTAAAGGTTATGAGATCTGGCCTAGAGAAAAAGGAGATTTGAATTAAAGCCACAAGAAGAAAGAATAGATTCCAGCCATATTTACAAGACAGAATTAATGGTTGTTATGAGTTGGAATCTACGCCATTGCCAACAGATTTAGTGGTTTATTTAGGTGCCCTGGTGTTAAGAGTCATCAAATTGGCTCCCACTCAAAATAACCTTGTATAGGATTTCCGAGGAGTAGCTGATGGGTTTCAACCTGTCAACCTTGCGATTAGAAGTCCAGTTCTTACCCTACAGCATCACACCAGGACTCCAGGTGGCAGTGGTTATGTGCTGGTTAGATCTGCGGTTGGCACAACAAGCTGGGAGAAAGATGTGGTAGCTTGAGTCTGTAAAGATTATTATTACAGCCTTGGAAACCTTACAAGAGGGTGATCCTTTCTCATTTGGAATCACTGTGAGACCAGTAGACCAGTTGTGATTTACTAGACATAACTGGGGCAGTGGGATAATAGCTGTTAAATTCAATAGAGAATACTAAGAACTCAAAACATTAATGTTTATTTTATTTAAGATGGGAGTTGGTCCTATGCCGCTGTGGGTAAATGCGCCAGACTGCAAAGTCATTTGAACTGCAAGGTCGGCGGTTCAAGCTCACCAGCTGCTCCTCGGAAACCCTTTACAAGGTCGCTATGGGTGGGAACTGACTCAATGGCACTTCACAACAACACAACATTACAATAATTAATTCCACATTCGGTATGTGAGGGTACTTAAGAAGCATTTGGAAGGCATTCACAACTATAGCCTAGAGTTTCAAATATGATGTCCAAGTGCAGACATGGGTCATTGATACCTTAACGGTAGTTAAAACCTAGAAATGAATATATCAAGAAAAACAGAATTAGTCGTTTGTAGTTTGCAAAATACGAGTTCGCAGAGGCCCTTAGCAAGAACTGCGTCAGATGAGTGTCGGGGATAAAAGCGAGACTAAAGTGGTACAGCAAAATCTTTGTTGTTTGGCAGACCCCACTCTCAGCAATCACCCAGGGTCCGGCCCAACCGCTAGAAGCCGGGTGAACACTTTCACCCTACAGCTCTGCAGCAGAGATCTCCCCAGCTGAAGCCCTAACTCCTTAGGCTGTGTAACAGTACAGCCTAAAGACCCAGAGGTCCGGATCGCTCACCCAGTTCAAGTGAAGTAAGCAGCAACGCAAAACCAACTGTGTGGTCAAGCCAGGAGACTCCTAGTCCACGGAGTCCACGAGACTTCCCACCCTCCCCAGATCCTCAGCAGGCCAATCCCACTCACTTCTCGGAGGGTCCGGCCCAGCATGGTTTACGAGCTCAGCCTGCCTCCACAGGAGCCAGGTAACAAGGAGGAAGAAAAGAGGTCAACAGACCCTTGCTGTTATTACATGGGCGCAGCCATGTTTGATCGTCACGGAACGATTTAACACCAAGTACTTTGATTGGTCAATTTGCAGCCCGAGACAATGATCCTTGCACGTGATTGGTTAGCGCTGCCAGGCCACCCCAGCGGCGAAGGAGAGCCGACCGGCAAGGAGACTCAGCTAAGTGGCGGCGGGAAGGCTGATCTGTCGAAACTCTGTGGTGTTGGATCGCATGCGGTGTCGGCTGGCTTTTCACTCTGAGCCTGCCAAAACAGGAAGGGGTTCTTGTCGGGGGGCTGTACCCTTTTCCCACTCCTTTTGTAAGGAGTCTAGATCGGCGTGTAAGAGAACACGAATTGCAACGTCGTTCAGATGTTAACAGCCGAATCTATAGTCTCCTTCCTTCAATTGCTTCATTAGATTAACTTCATTTTTGAATGTTCAATTCTGAAGTTGTTTAATATGTTTGACAGAATTGACGGAATTCGGGAGTAAAAGTTTGATCCAACCCAAGTGCGTAGTAGTTAGAACACGGTTTTTCAACTACTGCTTATGATGGAATTTCTCAAGAACTGTGTGCTTAGAAGAAATGCACGCGCAGCGGTTCGCTTCTGGAGAAGCAAAATTGTACAAAATACTGTAGTAGTTAGAAAGATTAGTACTACTTCTCCGAAGTGCACTGTCATGCCTGCTTGGGTGATAGATAAATATGGAAAGAATGAAGTGCTTCGATTTACTCAGAACATGATGTTACCCATCATACACTACCCAAATGAAGTCATTATCAAAGTCCATGCTGCAAGTGTAAATCCTATAGATGTTAATATGAGAAGTAAGTTTTCAAGGTATTCTTCGTTACCTTATCATTTAATTTTGATTTTTAATGATAATTTTTTTAAAAAGATCAATTATTTAACTATATAATTTTTTATTAACACACAAAAATTTAGGTTTTTGACAGTACCCCAGTAAACTTTTCCAACATGTTTGAATTGCTATGTTTATAGTATACTTTAATCTTTTCAAACTATAAGTTTGAACTGTTTCCATTCTTCCTTTGTGAAAGGGACCCTAATGGCACAGTGGTTAAAGGATTCAGCTTTTAACATAAAGTTTGGTGGTTCAAGGGAGAAAGATGGCAGTCTGAATCTAAAGATTTATAGCCTGGAAAACCTATGGGGCAGACCTACTCTGGCCTAGATAGTCATTGAGTAGGAATCAGCTGTACCAACAACTAATTTTTTAACATACTCTCCTGGGAGTTCTGTGATTTCCTGAGACCACTCATAGGTCTTGGAGGTCGGTTTTTATGTTTTCACATCAGCTTAGAATTTGTATTTTAAAATAATAATTTCCTTATCTATCTTTTATTCTTTTATTTATATATGAATAAAGCAGTAGAACAGAAAGCCAGTATATGGATACAGTTCTTTCCTCATTTCTATGGTAATCTCAGCCTTCAGCTACCTACTGCTGTGCACTGCCTTAATTTCTGGTAGGGTTATTGATATAGTTGTTGTTAAGTACTGTAAAGTCAGTTCCAACTCATAGCAACCCTTTATTGGGTTTCTGAGAGGAATGGTGGGTTTGAACCATTGACTTTGGGATTAATGGTGGTGGTGTGCTGTGGAGTCAGTTCCTACTCATAGTGACCCTGCATAGGTTTTCCAAGGCTGTAAATTTTTACAGGAGCAGAAAGCCTCATCTTTCTTCGATGGAACTGCTGGTAGTTTCAAACTGCTGACCTTGAGGTTAGCAGCCTGACTCATAACCACTATGCTACCAGAGCTCCTTTTGGGATTAATAGTCCAGTGCTTATCTTACAGCATCACAGCATGACTTCATTGATACAGTTGTTGTTAAGTGCCGTTGTTGAATCGATTCTGACTCATAGTGACCCTGTATAGTGTTTACAAGGAGCAACTGGTGGGTTTGAACCAGTTTGTGGTTCATAGTCCAGTCCTGATCCTACAGCGCCACACCAGGAGTCCATTGCTTTTTTAGCACTTTAACTGTACAATTGTATAGTTTATATTTGAGGGATATAGTGTTCTTTACTAATCAATTTGTGAATTATTTTATTTTAGAAGACAAGACAGATTATGTATCTTGCTATGAGAACACACTATGTCTGCTGAAGAAATCAAAAAACATCTTTTAGGATGATTGGTCAGTAATCTCGGTGTTTTAAATGAGCTGCCATATACAGTTTATTTGTGTAGACCTAAAATCTACTCAGCAGATTGCCTCACTAATAATTATGTTAACTATGTGATTACAATAAGGAGCTCTGGTAGCGTAGTGGTTACAAATCGGGCTGTGAACCGCAAGGTCAGCAGTTCGAAACTACCAGCTGTTCTGCGGGAGAAAGATGAAGCTTTCTGCTCCTGTAAAGATTTACAGCCTCGGAAACCCTGTACAGGATCTCTATGAGTCGGAACCGACTCCACGGCACACAACAACAATGTAATTACAATAGCCAATTACAAATGTAAAATTCACAATAGAACTATTTTGTGTAACTTATAAAAAGTTAGAAAGTATTGAAATTTTATCTTCTTCTAATTCCTCCATACACACCCAAGAGTATTGTGATAAGTTACGGCAGCAGTTGTCAAATTTTTAGGTCTCAGGACTTCTGAATCCCATTGAGTCAGTTCCAACTCATAGCAACACTGTATAGGGTTTCCAAGGAGCAGCTAGTAAATTTGAACTGCCAACCTTATGGTTCAAACCGACCTTAACTGTGCTTTATCCCACAGTACCACACCAGGACTCCCGGGACCTCCTTACACCTTTAACAATTATTGAGCATTGTTTATGTGAATTATTGATACTTACTTTGTTAGAAATTAAAACAAAGGTTTTAATATTTATTAAGAATGCAGTAGATTCCTCTGTGTTAACATTATAACATCGAATCAAAATAAAAATCCGAAACGATGTAAAAATGACTAATTGACATTATAGTTAAGACATCATGGTAATAATAGTTATCAGAGCATATGATTTGCTGTCTAAGAACTTATAATGACAATATAAACATCTGTATTTTCCAAAATGAGTGAAAGAATGTAGAGACAAGTAGCATTGTTTTAACTTTTGTACATCTCTTTATTCTCTGTCTTAATAAGATAACTGGATTTGAATATGTAGTTCTGAATCAATCATTTGCAATATGTTATTTGAAGTACTGCATATGAAGAATAGCCATCCCCACACAGGTAGTTGGAAAAGGAAAGAATCTCTTAACCTCCTTGGAAATGTCTTGGAGACTTACTGAACTTAGAGAACTTAAATTCCATTTCACGAGGTCCTTTCATGACCTCAATTTTGACTATTGCTCTTTTTAGTTTTGGAGGCCTGGTGTATGTAATACTATAGGATAATCACTGGACTACTGACTGCAAGCTCAGTGTTTCAAACCTATCAGCCACTCCCTGGAAAGATACAGGAACGCTATGTGTCAGAACCAACTGGACAACACTTAACAACAACAAAGTGGTTAACTTAGTGAATATGCCTCGGACTCCTGATATGGTGCTGTAGGATCAGCACTGGACTGAGAACCACAAGGTCTGCAGTTCAAACCCACCAGCAGCACTGGACTGAGAACCCAAGGTCTGCAGTTCAAATCCACCAGCTGCTCCTCAAAAACCTTATACAGAGCGGTGAACTAAGCCCTGCATCGTTCTGCAGACTACTGTGAACCCGGGTGGAGACTCAGTCGGTCAGCAGCGAGGCAGGACCAAGGAACCCATGGGCTCAGAGTCAGTGACACAGCCACAGAGGACTAGAGCGGAGAGCAAAGAGACCAACTGATAAGAAGAGGGTGGACAGACGCAAGAACACCCACACTTGCAGATGATACCCACTTGACCTGGCTTCAATGACTAGATGAACAGAACTCAACCTGAGGAAGAAAGAGGGGAAAAAAAAAAAAAAAAGCATCATCTGATACAACTTGATGAATTGGACCAACACCTATAACTGCAGTAGTAGCTCAAAAGAGGAAACAATTCCCGGCTCCAAGAATTATTCCCACCCTCTTCACACAAAGAATGGAAAGGGATGGGCAACTTGAACATTGGCTACCCAAAATGGGGGGAGGGATGCAAAGGTAAGAAGTGACTGGCTTGCAAGCTTTCAAGAGGGAACCTAGATCTACAGGGCGGGGAGGATAGTAGAGTCTCCAGTGAGTAGTACCCAACCTGTCTAGGAAGGGCTGATGAAATGCAGATGGGTCTCATGTGATACAATGGAAAAAAACTGTTACCAGGACTGATTGTGAGGACTGGAAATGTAAAGGTGGATATTTTATAGCAAGGAGGGGCGTGATTAACCTTTCAGTCTAGGAGTGGAGGGCCCTGGGACCATCAGTAGAGAAGAGCGGAGAGCGGCACCTCACCCAGAGAAGCAGTGAGGCCTGAGATGGAGACAGAGAGGATGACATGAAGAGATGGAGTGCCTGGGGAGTTAAGACCCAGAGAGGGAAAGGGGCTGTGTGCTGAGGGCATGCAAGTTATACCCTTTCGTTGGGGGATGATGCATGGATAGGGATGGTAACTAAGGCAATGACATCACGCTTGGTAAAGTGGAAGGTCAGCAAAAAAAAAGGAAGGTTCCCAACAAGATGGACTGGCACAGTGGCAACAGCATGGGCTCAAGCATAGCAGCGATTGTGAGACTGCCACAAGACCAGGCACTGTTTTGTTCTGTTGTGCACAGCACCTAACTACAACAAAACAACAACAGCTCTCCTTAAAGAAGTCTGCTCTCTTTTATTTATATCATGGGAAAATGGCAGTTTTGCATCCTTGAGGGATTTAAATCCTGTTCTTTTGAGTTTCAGGAGCTAAAAGAAGCCTAAAGTGCCAAGTAAGATCTAGACTGTAGGATGGAGGGATGAGGTTTCCCATTGAAATTCAACTAAGCTAGCCATTGCTACCCTTGAAGAAGGAGCAGGTGCATTGTTATAATGGAAATAAATTCCTTGGCACAACTTTCCTGGCCTTTTGCTCACCCAACGCAATTTACAATTTTCCTCAAACTACTTCCTCATATGGATCCCTGGTAGTGTAGTGGATTATGAGTTGGTCTGCTAACTTCAAGGTCAGAAGTTCGAATCTACCAGCTAATCAACAAAAGAAAGATGAGGCTTTACTGCTCCTATAAAGATGTACAGCCTTGGAAACCCTATACAGGGTCACTATGTGTGAGAACTGACTCCACAGCACACCACCGCCACCGCCACTTCCTCATACACCCTTGTAACCATCCTGTGTCCTTTGAGAAAGTCCATCAGGATTACCCCTTTGGGGTACTCCAAAACATTCACAGGAGTCCTGGTGTGACACTATGGGCTAATGCATCAGACTGCAAAGTCGGTGGTTCAAGCTCACCAGCTGTTCCTTGGAAACCCTATACAGGGTCGCTATGGGTCGGAATCAACTTGACGGGACTTAACAACAACAAAACATTCACCATAACCTTTTGAGCCTGACCTCTGCCTTGAATTTATCTGGCCTAGCAGATCTCAGAAGTCTCAGGCCTTTTTTCGAAGGCACCCTAATAGGACTAAGACAGGTATGTTATTGAACAAACTAGTCTGTAGCTGTCCATTAATTGCAGAGACAAGTTTAAGCACTGTTTGAAATAAACCTGTGAATGTATTAGCTAGAACCCTAGTGACTTACCCTCATATAGTATTCTTGAGACATCAATTTTTTTATGACTTGATTGGGTAATAAGTTACATTCTTTTTTTTTTTTCCCCTTCCCCTGCCCAGGGATTCATCTTGAGAATGTGTTATTGTTGCAGAAGATACCTACAATTGTAGCTTGGGGAAATAAAATAATGAGTAGAAGATTGTAAAGCATAGAGGGCAGTTCTTTTTCTTGATAAGAGAGCACGAGACGTGTCTACTTTATTTTGCAAGATGAAGGGCAATCTCTTTGCTGGGAGCTGGTCACTACTGTGGAGTATAAATAATAAATCATAGAAATGGCTAAATAAATGGATAGTCTTTAAAATGTCTTTTAAAAAATGTCAGTCTTTTCTCTGTTTATCATGATGGTGTTTATTGGTTCAGTGGTGAGGGATTTTGTTTTGTTTGCGTTGTGGTGCATCCCATAATGAAGGCTGTGGTCTTTGATCTTTATCAGTAAGTATTTTAAGTCCTCTTAACTTTCAGCAAGCAAGTTTGTATTTTCTGCATATCACAGGTTATTAATGAGTCTTCTTCCAATCCTGATACCAAATTCTTCTTTATAAAACCCAGCCTTTCAGATTGTTTGCTCAGCACACAGATTGAATAAGTATGGTGAAAGAATACAACCCAGGTGACCACCTTTCTTGATTTTAAATCGTTCAGTGTCCCCTTGTTGTATTCTGAGAATTACCTCTTGGTCTATGTACACGTTCCTCATGAGCACAATTAAGTGTTCTGGAATACTGATTGTGCACATTGTTGTCCATAACTTGCTATGATCCACACTGTCAAAAACTTTTGCGTGGTCAAAAAAACACAGGTAAAATCTTCCTGGTATTCTTTGCTTTTAGCTAAGATCCATCTGACATCAGCAATGATATCCCTCATTCCATATCCTCCTCTAAATCTGTCTTGAACCTCTGGTAGTTCCCTGTCTATGTACGGTTGCAGCCATTTTTTAATTATCTTCAGCAAAATTTTACTTGTGTGTGGTATTAATGATATGGTTTGATGATTTCTGCATTCTGTTGAGTCCCTTCTCTTTGGAATGGGCACAAACGTGGGTCTCTTCCAATAAGTTGGTCAGGTAGCTTTAGATGAGTGAGTGCCTTCAGTGCTGCATCAGTTTGTTGGAAAATTCCATTTGTATTCCATCAATTCCCGGAGTCTTGTTCTTTGCCAGTACCTTCAGTGCACCTGGGACTTCTTCCTTTAGTACCCTTGGCTCTCTATCATATGCTACCTCTTGAAATGGTTGAACATTGACCAGTCCTTTTTGTTAGAGTGACTGTGTATTCCTTCCATCTTCTTTGATGCTTTTTGCATCATTCAATATTTTGTCCATAGGATCCTTCAGTATTGTAAGTCAAGGCTTAAATTTTTTCTTCAGTTCTTTCAGTTTGAGAAATGCTGAGTGTGTTCTTCCCCTTTGAATTTCTAACTCCTGGTCTTTACACATTTTTTTTTTTTTTTTAACCTAGCAGCAGCTTTTGAACTTATTTGAAAACTGCCGTCCTCATCAGTGTGTGACATCTTGAAATGACCTTCTTCACTTGACCTTTCAGGATACCTGTTACTTCTCTGATCAGACCTTCTCAGTCTCCTTGGCCTCATCCTTGAGAAGAAATGTACAATGCCCAGCAGTGGGTGGGAGAGAAGGAATACTTAAGAGTGGTTTAGTGATTCTGCAGCATAAATTGTGTTGCATGGGATGGGTCAGTCTGCAGAGTCCCTATCTTGGAGACCCTCCCATACAAGAAGTGTTCTCCTAAGTGATAGGGAGCCTTAGGAATGTTTTACGCTTAGGAGACAATGACAGATGCTTTTGCCTTTTATTATCTGATGAAGCTCTGTGATAAACTGCTTTGGATTATTATGTAAATGGAGTGGTCAATTTATTTGGACAAAGAAATTTATTATTAGAATCATGTTTTCAGCTCTATTTTTAAACAGATATGCAAATATTCTTTAGAATAAAAATTTGTTGTTGTTAAATGCTATCAAGTCAGTTCCCACTCAGAGACACTATAGGATTTCCAAGGAGCAGCTAATGTGTTTGAATCACTGACCTTGTGGTTAGCAGTCAAGTGCTTGTCCTACAACATCACATGTAATAAAGTGATTAACCCGATTTTGTCCTGGTGTGGTGCTGTAGGATAAGCACTTGACCATAAGGTCAGTTTGAACTGCAAAGTCTGTGGTTCAAATCCACCAGCTGCTCCTTAGAAACCCGTAACAGGGTTGCTATGAGTTGGAACTGACTCGATGGCGCTTCACAACAATAACAAGAAGCATATCAGAACTAATGTAGCCTAGTGGTTCTTTTCCACTTAATCTATACATTCATGCCAAAGATATTCTGCAAACATTTTGTGGGGGTGGGCATCATTACTCATAGAGCAATGTCAGTATCAGAGTATTTATATCCATGGTTTTGTGTTTATTGTCTTCAAACTGCTTTAATAGTTTTTCTTCTCACCAGATGTCACACCAGTCAAACATACATTTTAAAATGAGTGAATAAACTAACAAGGAACCATCTTCAAACTACAAAGTAAAACTGTGTAAAAGAAAATACTTCAATTTCTGAAGACGATTTCAAAATTCGAATTCCAAAACCGTAATGAGCAATGACTAACTAGCTGTTAACTGCCATTGAATCAGCCCCTAACTAATGCAGAACGAAATACTGCCTGGTCCTGCACCATCCCCATTGGTATCTTTGCTGTAGGGTAAGCACTGGACTACTGGCCACAGAGTTGACAGTTCAAACCCACCAGATGCTCTACTGAAGAAAGATGAGGCTTTCTGCTCCCATAAAGAATTAAATTCTTGGAAGCCCTATACAGGGTCTCTATGACTTAACATGGACTCAGTGGCAGTGGATTTGATTTGTAGATTTTTTTTATAACTTTCTAATTATCTTTGAAGGAAAAAGCACTCACTTATATTTTCTTGTGTGATGGTAAACTATAAGGTTGATTATTTTCTATTACCTAAGGATCTAGGATTGTACCAGGCCTATAATCTTATGGTAGTGTGACATTCGTACTTTGGGAAGAAACATGAATTGTGTCTTCTAGGTGGTTACGGAGCGACGGCTTTAAACATGAAGCGTGATCCCTTACTGATTAAAAACAGAGGAGAAGAATTCCCTCTGACTCTAGGTCGGGATGTCTCTGGTGTGATAATGGAGTGTGGTCTTGACGTGAAGTACTTCAAGCCTGGAGATGAGGTGAGTGGGCAGTGCTGCTGCATCCAAGTTATCTTTTGTTTCAACCAGTGTACTGAGACTGGGCTGCAAGCCTCAGTTTCTTGATTTTGTTATTACAGTTTTCACAAACAATTCCAAAGTAGTTTGACTCCATTTAGGTTTTTTGAATCTGGTGTTAATGAATCACAAGACTTTAAAATGTGTAGGATTGGAACTTTTCGTTTTTTCCTGAAAGTTCTTTTTAATGACAGTTTCTACTTAATGAATGAGTTAGTTTTGAAATAGCTGAAGTTTGGTACAATGAACTGCCACTTGTCACTTTGAACTTTTTTATATAAGGAAATCATGAGCGATAAGGATAGTTGGTACTATTCTAGGAGCCCTCGTGGTGCAGTAGTTCAGTGCTCAGCTGTTAATCAGAAGGGCAGTGGTTCCAACTCACCATCTCCTCCATGGGAGAAAGATCTGGCCGCGTGTTTCTATAAAGATTCACAGCCTCAGACACCTAATAGGGTAGGTCTACTCTGTCCTGTATGGTGGCTATGAGTCAGAATCGACTCAACAGCAAGATGCTTGGTTTGGCTTTGGTACCACCATTCTAAAATAACTCATTTAATCTCTCTAGAATCTCTCTACACTTAGGCCCATTTTATAGATGAGGAAGGTGAAGTATGGAGAGGCCCTAGGGCTAGTAATTGATAGGGCCAGGACTCAAGCCCCCTAGATGTGTTCTTGCAGGTACGCCATTTAGTAAATGCAGCAGGGCATACCGATATCTGCTTCCAATGTGATAAATCCTGAGTAAATCTAAGTAATACATTTATAGGATTTGGAAATAACTATTTTGCTGGTGTGTTGTTGATTTGTTCTTTTCCCCACAAGGTGAGGTATGTATTGGGGAGCACCATCGTGCTTTGCCGTGGTTAAAAGATAATCTGTGTTTCTAATGAAGTTATGTGTGTGTTTCAGGTCTGGGCTGCAGTTCCTCCGTGGAAACAAGGCACTTTCTCTGAGTTTGTTGTAGTCAGTGGGAATGAGGTAATTCACCAACTCTGTGCTAAAATGGTATTGGAAAGTATAGGCAAAAGCAAAGAATATTTGTCTGACATAATTGGATCTTTTTCAGATTGGTTTCATGTTTTAAGGGCAGTTTTGAAAGACTTAAGGTAGAGAATAAGAAACTTTGAAAGATTAACAAGATATTTGATGTCATTTAATGACACTGCCTGCCAAAGGGGGTCACCTTTGCCCTTTGGAGTAGGGATTTGGAGTGAGACTTCGATTCCATGGTGTTTCTTGGTTTTGCCAAATATGGCTGTTGTTGTTAAGTGCCGTCGAGTCGGTTCCGACCCATAGTGACCCTGAACAGGGTTTCCGAGGCTGTAAATCTATATGGGAGCAGAAAGTCTCATCTTTCTCCCGCGGAGCAGCTGGTAGTTTCAAACTGCTGATCTTGCGGTTCGTGGCCCAATTCGTAACCACTACGCTACCAGAGCTCCTTTAGTATGGATAGTTGAAACCAAATACACCAAATGGAGAGTAAAGGTTTAATCCTACATAGTTGCATGGACTGTCAGACTCTTTTGAATAACTTTTAAAGTAGGAAACGAATCAAACGTAGTCAGGGGCTTGACAACTTTACCAGAGAAAGGGCTTAATCTTAAGGAAACTGGCTGGAGGAAAGAGGACAGGAAGAGAGATAGGGGTGTTCTTGAGATTAGAAAAAAACTAGAAAAATTGGGTTCCAGTAATTGAGAGTAAAGGGAACAGGTAGTCTCAAAACAAGTTTTTTTTAAGAGTGCATCCACAGCCCTGGTGGTGCTGTGGGTCAGGTGTTGGGCTGCTAACCACAAGGTTGATGGTTCAAACCCACCAGCCTGTTCTTGTTAAAATTCATAGTCTGAGAAACTCTATGGCGTAGTTCTGGTCTCTCTTCTTGGGTCGCCATGAGTCAGACTTGACTCGATGGTAGTGGGTTTGCTTTGGTTTAGTCAGAGGGTTCCAGTTTTATGTGGATTGATTTTAGTTAGTACTAGTGGGATTTTCAGACTCACCAGCCGCTCTTTGGAAACCTTATACAGGGTCACTATGAGTCGGAACCTACTTAACAGCCCTTAACAGCAACTACAACAGGGTTTTAATGAGTGTGCTCTTTTTATGAAGAATGAAGTAGCTTAATAACCTGTAATATCTGATGCTGTAGGTTATAAAACATTACCGAACCTCTGTGAGGCAGGCTGAGCTATTTGGAAAAAATCCCTTCAGGATAATCTTAGAGTCGGGCATGCAATGAACACTGAACTTTGAAGAAAATTTAGATTTATCTGTGAAAATACTTGGGTTCCAATGAAGGTAAATGTACTTACATTTTATTCAAAGACTTGCAAGCCAGTGCTAATTTTTTATTGTTGTCTTCAAATCTAGGTCTCTCACAAACCGAAATCTCTCACTCACACGCAGGCTGCTTCCTTGCCATATGTGGCTCTCACAGCCTGGTCTGCCATAAACAAGATTGGCGGCCTGAGTGACAAGAACTGCAAAGGAAAGCGGTAAGTATCCATGGTACCAAGCAAACCTACCTCCCATCTTTACTTCTGTAAGGTTTTTGCAGTAGATTTGATAAGATACTGTCGAGGTCCTATGTCAGGTTCCAGCCTCTACAAGGAAGTGTGGGTGTCACGAAGAAGGGAGATCTGGCGGTGAAAGTGATAGAGAAAGAGAGAGACGAAATATATACAAACAAGACAGACACACAGATATGATGCAAGCTGGCAGGTAGACAGATCTGCAAACATATTGCTTAGCATTGCCTAGCATTGCCCAGCCTTGCACAGCATTGCATGCGGAATTCACTCTACCTCAGCCTTTTATTCTCTATTTTAGGGAGGGATTTGTTACAAAGGAAGGATGTAATTCACTCAGGGAGGATGTGATTAAGATAGGATACGGAACTGAGATGTGATTAATCATTCAAAACAGGACATAATGATTCACAGGAACAACTTTTAAGATATTTTCATAGTTTTTTCTTAACAATCTAACATTTTTAATTTTACAGTAAAAAGGTTCAATCAAGCTGTTATATATTAATTTTTAGGCTGAAATGATCTAGACCAGTGACGTGCGGTTTCTTAAGGATACTTAACATAAAGCAAGGTTCCTGAAAGGAACCAAGCTGTCTCTGTACACTTTTTTTGTTTGTTTGTGAGCAAGATCTCAGGCACTGGGCTTCATTTATCTATACCTAAAATGCTACATTGTTCTTAATTATCATATTCCTATATACTTTCAGGAGGAAGGAAAGCATCTGGGTTAAACTGATTATATTCAGAGGTGGTTTAATGGGGCTGCCACTGATCAACCCAGGGTCTGCGTATGCTGTCCCCAGCAAGATACTAATATTAGGATCATTTACGTGCACAGATTTGTGTTAGCAATCCAATTTCCAAAAACTCTTTTAATCAGTTTGCACTTTCTTTACCACATTCTTCATCCAATCCAACAGGGATTTAAAAGTGATATGTGTAAGTAACTTTCAGGAGCCTTATATCTTCTAAAATAAGTCAAACTAGGTGTGTGAATCTCTAAGAAAAAGAGCCATAGTTTTTATTATTTTCCTAAAAAGGTTAAGAATCAGTCCATAAAGCTTCTAAATAATGGTATCAACATTTAGTTGCTTTTTCTTACTCCAACCATGAGCTCTTCTCACACTTGCAGATTTCTATGAAAACCAGATAAAAAGGGAGTTTAAAAATTGATGAATAATTGATGATGAGTATTTTCTTCTGGAATTTATGCTTGATATCTGTTAAGTCAGTTCTAGTTCTTTAAGGTCTTGTGTGTGCTTATTTGTTGTGTTCACACAATTCATTGAATAGAAATGTCTTAGATGGACTTGAGTTCACAGCCAAATTCTGAGTTTTGTTTCTAAGATTAAATGAGATAATAAATGGTGGCTACTATTACTAACTAGGAGCTATGGCTCTTTAGGGTAGGCAGGCACTGGACTGCAAACCACAAGGTCCACGGTCTGAACCCACTAGCTGTTCCTTGGGAGAAAGATGAAGCTTTCTGTTCCTACAAAGACTTTAAGACCTCAGAAACCCTATACGGGGTTGCTGTTTGTCAGAACTGACTCCACAGTACTTAACAACAACCACAAATGTTAGCTGGTTCTGTTGTTCTGTGTATTTGAGAAAGTTGACATTATAGAGTAGAATGACTTTAGTTTTTGGTGGGGAACCTGGGTTGTAATTGTTAGTTGCTGTGATTCCAAACTCATGGCGACCCCAGGGGGTAGTGCTCCATAGTGTTTTAAAGTTTGTCGCCTTTCGGAAGCAGAACATCAGCCCTTGATTCTAAAGGAGCCGCTGGGTGAGTTTGAACTATCAACCTTTTGACTCGTTGCCAAGTGTTTAACTGTGCCACTCTAGAGCCATCAAATGATTGCAGAAAAGGAGAAAACTGGAGATAAAATTTTAATAAACTAAAATAGCTTTGTTTTTTGTGCTGTAAGTATTATGCAGGTAAAAGGAACTGAAATCTGTGTGATTCTTTACTGTGTGGTGAGACATTGCACCTTACATTTGACATGTTGTATGCCAGATGATTAAATATAATGAAAGTTTAATGTTTGTATTTCTGAAAGCTATGTGAAGGTTATCCACCTAATGAGGTGCTACCTGTTTATCTTAGAATTCAAGGCAAATATTGATTCTAAAGGTCAACCCTGTTTACTTTTCAGACTGTGGAGCTTTCCTTTCTTAAAGTTACCATTTGCTCACACACTTTGCTTAAATTAAATTAGTTTGACCATACAGATTTTTCTAACGGTTTGTCTTAGTTAATAAAAACCAAACCCACTGCTTTTAGGGTTTCCGAGACTGTACATCTTTATGGGAGCAGACAGCCTAACCCACAGCACCACCAGTGCTCCTTGTCTCAGTTGTTGTTGTTAAGTGCCATCGAGCCAATTCTGACCCATAGCAACCCCGTATAGGGTTTCTGAGGAGCAGCTGGTGAGCTTGAAATGCCGACCTTGCAGTTCAAACGGTTTTGCAGTCTGGCACATTAACCCAAAGAGCCACACCAGGACTCCCCTTGTCTAAGTTAATACCTTGCAAAATCATATTCAAAAATTTTAAGCTCTCAATTACAATGGAAGGTTGTGCAAAGCCATTGATGTTTTTTTGTTTACTTACTTGGTTTGGTTGTTTTCTTAAAAGCACTAGGCTTTGTATGCCTTCATGACTGTGTGTGAGGTATGGTTACATAGCCCCCATTCCTTTTGTCTGCTTGGTGGCTCCCCAGGTATACATTGTTTTAGGGTGTTGTAGAAAACAATCTAGAAACAAAGATCAGAGATCCGATATCTCTATCTCTTCTCAGATGCATATGTGTGTGCCTTCAGGCTGATAATGGCTTTGTGGGTAATTCTTCAGTTGTTTGTTACTTTTTGTTTAAGCAGTGAGCATCTGGAACTGGGAAACTGGAGCCCTGGGTCTTGCTTTCTACTCTGACACTAATTAAGTGACCACAAGCACTAGATGACTACTGTGTGTGAAACTGTAGGTTGTGGGGAGTACTTTAAGAAGAAATTGGGCCTCGTGGCCCAGTTTTCAGCCAAGCAGTAGATACTTTTATAGGTGAAGACAACAACACTAGCAAGGTATGCTCACCATGGAATAGTCATAATCCAAAATCAAATCGACAGTGAATAAGGAAGAACATAGAAGAACTGATGTGTTTGAATTATGGTATTGGGAAGAATAAAGTACCATGGGCAAACAAATCTGTCTTGGAAGAGGTACAGCCAGAATCTTCCTTAGAAGTGAGGATGGCAAGACTTCTTCTCTAGTTCTTTGGACATGTTGTCAGGAGGGATCAGCCCCTGAGGAAGGACATCATGCACGGTAAAGTGGAAGGTCAGTGTAAAAGAGGAAGACCCCTGGGTTGCTATGAGTGGGGAAACAACTTGACAGCCCCTCATAATAGTAAAACCAGGTGGTATGTTTAGAGAACTGAGGGGAAGAAGACAGAAAAACCCTTGCAAATTACTTGCATATAGGAATTGTGGGGGCTCTGGCCTAGACAGTGTGATGCAAATGAACCTCCATTCAGGGGGCCCTGTTCCCCAGGGGACAGAGAAGTGTTCAGTGAAGAAAGGTTAAAGATTCTTGCTTGGCAATTTAGATTTTACAGATTAGTTTTCTGAGTGTGCAGGGTAAGTCTCTTTTGAGGTTTAGAAGTCACTGACTCGTCCATTTACTGGAATCTAGCTTCCAACCCTGTCATTCAGCTGCAGCAGCTCTCACCAGAGCCATGGCTGACTAAGTGGCCTAGCCCAAAGATGCTTTTCAGTTCTTATTTTACTTTGATCTCTCCGAAGTACTTGAAAATACATTGTTGACCTCTTCTTCCTTCTTAATGCTCATTCTTTCCATTGCTTTAGGGGAGACACCAAGCTTCTTTAGTTTACCCATTGCCTTTTTGACTGTTTCTTGTCATTTATCAAAGCCTCTCCTTCTTCCTTAACTCTTAAATATTGGTGCTTTTCCAGTGTTCCACTCCATCATCCCTCCCAGGACAATCTCATCTCCTCCTTGTTATAGTTGTTAAGTGCTGTTAAGTTGGTTCTGATGCAGAGTGACCCGATACAGCATTTCTGAGGAGTGGTTGTTGGGCTTGAACAGCCAACCTTACAGTTAGCAGTCCATTGCTTATATTATAGTGCCACAGTATTGGCAGGGAAGCAACATTTACTCCTAGCGTCCATTTATATGTTGGTAATTTCCAGACTTGGATCAACTATCAACACTCGCGGAAGCAGCAGTCAAGAGATCAGACGACGTATTGCACTGGGCAAATCTGCTGCACAGGAACTTTTTAAAGTGTTGAAGAGCAGAGATGTCAGCTTGAGGACTAGGATGCGCCTGACCCAGGCCATTGTGTTTTCAATAGCCTCATATGGATGCGAAAGCTGGACAGTGAATAAGGAGGATCGTAGAAGAATTGATGCCTTTGAGTTGTGGTGTTGGAGGAGAATACTGAGGGTGCCATGGACTGCCAAGAGAACCAATATATCTGTTTTGGAAGAAGTGCAGCCAGAGTGCTCTTTGGAGACCAGGATGGCTGGGCTTCGTCTCTCCTACTTTGGACATGTTGTCCGGAGGAAACAGTCGCTGGAGAAGGATGTCATGCTGGGTAGGGTGGAGGGTCGGAGAAAAAGAGGAAGACCCCCAACGAGATGGATCAGCCAGGTGGCATCATTGATGGACTCAAGTGTGGCAGCGGTAGTGAGGTTGGCCCAGGATCGAACATTGTTTCGTTCTGCTGTGCATGGGGTCGCTATGAATCGGTTCCGACTCGATGGCACATGACAACAACAACAACAACAATTTCCAGACTATCTTCTTTCAGTAGCTTTGGTTACTTTAGTTCCATCACATTGTGTTGGGCAAATCTGATCAGATGCACCTTAGCCAGAGTGGTTTTAGTTACCTCATATGCATGCAAAAACTGGACAGTGAATTAGGAAGACTGAAGAATC